TAACATTAAGATTATTTAATTTGAAAAAAACAGAGAAAAAAATTGTTCAAAAAAGTTATTGAAATAGGAAAACTTTTTTCTCGTTTGATAAAAGTCATAAGTGTCTATGTAATGATGATAGCCACACATCTCCTTTATAATTTAAACATATAATTTTACCTCTGAAATTTCTGATTATTTTTTAATGAAATTTAAAACCAATGCATAAATCAGTGTCGAGAATGGGAGGAAAATGTACGCATATACTTACTATGATTAAAACATACACATAAAAACCGGTTTTGAGCAAACAATATTTTAATGCATTACATAAGGATTAACTCCAGGTCACATGATATATTAGTTATTAAAATAGGATCACATTTCTAATATAAAAAGCATATGATTTACACTTTAGTTAAAAAAATATTATATATACGTACGACAATTGATTAAGAATGTGGTCTTATAATAACATCTGATGCATCATGTGATCTGGAGTTAATTCTTGTATAATGCATTAAAATATTGTTTGCTCAAAACCGGTTTTTATGTGTATGTTTTAATCATTGTAAGTATATGCGTACATTTTCTTGAAAAATACAGGGTGATGCATGGAGCTATTTTCCTCCCATTCTCGACACTGGCATAAATGGTCAAAATCAAATTTTGACATTTTTCAATAATATCTTTAAACTTACAGTGTAGTGCAGTGATTGTAAGAGAAATTATTTTTCTAGAAAAAGATCATTTAAAAAATGACAACATTATATTTGGCCAATAGGTGCCTTGGTTTTACCCTTTATTAGAAAAAAAGTACAGCTCATAGAAATAAAATAATTAATTGAGAATATAGAGGAGATGTGTAGCATCATTATTACATAGACAGTTATGACTTTTATCAAACGAGAAAAAAGTTTTCTTATTTAAATAACTTTTTTGAACAATTTTTTTGTCAGTTTTTTTCAAAATAAACACTCTAAATATTAATCAATCCTGATAAATTTTTGGTGAGATGTGGACATGGACTGGTGCTATTATAATCTGAAGACAGATCCAAATTATCTTAATTAGTTTTTGAGTTATGGCCGAAATGAACATTAATTTCTGAACAACCTATTAGGTTGATGTTTAATGTTTGCATATTTACAGCGAATGCTTATTCCGTCGACAACTGCTCTCCATTTAACGAGTCTTCGTTTCAATGACTTCAGTCTCGACGAGGATATGATGATCAGAGGCTGTATTCGTATGTTTCTTGATCTCGATTTAATTGAGAGATTTCACATCGACTACAAAGTATGCAAACAATAAATAATCGGCTAATAATGTATTAGTATTGATAAAAAGTTGGTCTTTAGGTTCTCTGCAAATGGATTTTAAGTGTGAAAAAGAATTATCGGCCCGTTTTGTATCACAATTGGAGACATGCCTTCAATGTGGCACAAATGATGTTTGCAATACTTGTGGTTAGTTTACCATCAAATACCTAGTTGCTACTGATTATATTATTCACAATATTTGCACCATTATAATCACCTTACATTGTATTAATAATTGGATCTAAATGGTGATCCAAATAGAATACTCAGTATTGTCGAGTGTTTGGTGAATTGGAAACATTAGCTCTATTGGTGGCCTGTCTTTGCCATGATTTGGACCATCGTGGCACTAATAATTCGTTTCAAATTAAGTAACTTAATTATACGATAAATAAAATGTGGCATATAATAAAATTAATTAAAATTAATAATTGATAGATCATGTTCGCCATTAGCGCAACTTTATTCGACAAGTACATTAGAACATCACCACTTCGATCAGTCATTAATGATATTAAGCAGTCAAGTAATCCTCTAATCATAATATTTGTATTTTTATCAATATTCATTTAATACATTTAATGTCACTTGAATGAATGTTTGTGATAATTATAGGGCAATCAAATATTAAGCCATCTCTCGCCTGAAGAATATCGTAGAGTTGTTCACGTATTAGAAGAAGCAATCCTTGCAACGGATTTAGCCGTTTATTTCAGAAAAAGAGGGCATTTCTTCAGATTAGTTGAATCCGAAGACTACGACTGGACGGGTAATGAAGAGCACAGATCGCTATTAAGGTCTTTACTGATGACTTGCTGTGATATCGGAGCCATAACTAAACCATGGTATGTTTCCCATATATTAACACATTTTACATCTTTTTTATTATTAGTTGATTCATAAATTAAATGTTTGTTGCATATTAAAAACTTAGTGACAAAATACAATTGGTTGTCCGACAATAGTTTAGAAAAATTCATACCAACGGCAAAGCAATAATAAAAAAATTAAATGCCATCAGTTAAGATATTTATCTTATAAATATATAAACAATGTATTTCGATTTGAAATAATTTGAATATAATATTAGTAAACTATCAATATTAGTTTCATTATGCTTAAATATTTAAAAATCTTTAGCAATTTAATTTATATGTGCAATTTTCACAGTATGTGTAAAAATATTCCTAAACATTTGTGGACATTNATATTAGTTTCATTATGCTTAAATATTTAAAAATCTTTAGCAATTTAATTTATATGTGCAATTTTCACAGTATGTGTAAAAATATTCCTAAACATTTGTGGACATTTTGAAGCTCTACATTCATTTTGTCATTTCATCATTTTGTACTTCGAAAGCATTATTTAATACAAGCATTCATTTTTAAATGGGAAACAGATAGAGTAGAAAATTTCAAATGTTGACTCAATGTCAATATAACTAAAAATTTTGCAAATTGGGGCGACAAACGGGTGCTTTGCTTTTCCCCAACACTAATGCAACGATAAACGTTTCAGTCTCTGACGCACGCGATGTGGACTTGCTAAAATTAAATTTAAATCTCAAAATCTACAGGTGTTCATATACAACGGATATACCATATAAAATGACATTTGTATACCGGTAGTACCTTAAAATTTCGTGCATTACCCACACTTCAAATATTTGACTTTTTTCTATAGATAACCCGCGGGTAATGCACAGAATTTTAAGACAATTCATGTGATAAAGCAAAGGATGTGATAACTAAACAATTATTAGTGAACACATTGTGTTGATACAAACTTCTAGTCAACAATTCATTCATTAATATAAACATATTCTAGTCATTAGACTCTACACTAATTTGATGTACTAATAATTAAAATTGAATGAGTAGTTTTTAAATAGTAAGACTTTAAATTAATGTATTTTTACTTCTTTTATATGAGTATAGTCTAATTCTTCTCATTTATAGAAAAATTCCTGATACGTCTCGAAGTAAATTTTATTCTGAACAATTTGGTATATAAATTGTAAAAATTGATCCAGTACTTATTGAGTTATGACTACTATTAATTGTCCATAGGAAATACATTGGGTACTTAATGCCGTTTGGTTGTTGTTCGTTCATATATTTAAATTTTAATACAATGGAAACTCTGTATTAACCTGCATTAAATCAAATCTGTTACTTATACCTGTTTAATTGCATGTACAACTACATATCAAAATAGACATTCGAAATAAATAACAAACGTAAACTTTTAACTTAACTTCTGTACGTAGCTATGTTTACTACGGTTTACAACTACTAAAGCATTCGATGTACAGATGTATTGACAAGTTTGTTGTTTATGTGACAGGCGTTTGCAATCTTCGCTGGAATGGGAAAACGTTTGTGTAATAATATACTCTTTCGTTAATTTCGCTACCGATTTGTCGCGCATTGGGAACTTCACGAGAGTATAGTGCGGAGTCGTGTTCTTCTTCTTCGGTAGTTTCAAAGCCACTCACAAAGGCACAATTCATGATTGCTATAATTGAGTGGACGTACCTATAAATGATAGGTTTGGTGGAAATAATTAATCATTAATATTAAATAGTAGTTTGATTGGTGTAACATTAATTATACATTTGATGATTTGAGTGAATTTAAACAATAACAATAAGATGTACATATCAGGTTGTTCAGAAATTAATGTTCATTTCGGCCATAACTCAAAAACCAATCAAGATAATTTGAATCTGTCTTCAGATTATAATAGCACCAGTCCATGTCCACATCTCACCAAAAATTTATCAGGATTG